ATTTGTGTCATCATCTGCTTTCTCTCTCTCTCTCTTTCTCTCTCTCTCTCTCTCTCTCTCTGTCTCTTTCTTTCTTATTCTTTATTTTTTTTTCTTTTTTTTTCTTTTTATTTTTTTTTCTTTTTTTTTCTTTTTATTTTTTTCTTTCTCTCTTTCTCTCTCTTTCTCCTCATCTCTCCCTCTCTCCATAATTGTTTCCCGTGTGATGAATGACGCCATACAGGTTATGGATGACGTCAGACGACGTCACCCTCATCATTTACGTCACGTGTCACGCCACTTCACGACCAGGGCAGCGGGATTGCCTTTAATAACGACCAATAGAATGACATTAAGAGACATTGCAGTCTGCAGTGTCATCAGATGACAGCATTAACTGCGTAATGACATTACACTCATAACAACATTGAATAACATTACGTACACACACTCAAGTCGCATCAGGTGACATACATTATTATTATTATTATTATTTTGTTGTTGTTGTTGTTGTTGTTATTTGAAAATTTGTATAGCGCTAATTACAAACAAAATGTTTCTCAAAAACACTGTATACAAATATACATATACATACATGACATCAATTGCATACACCGCTTATGTTCTACATAACATCAATTGCATACATTGCATAGTTTCATGCGTAGAGTTACACTACATACATGACAAAGTTAAATCACATCAACTAAAGCAACATTCCCAAAATCAAGAAACCAACAACGTCACTAAACTTCATTTAATGTTACTTAAATTGAAGTAACAATTACAAAATTACATTAAAATGACATTAATGTTACATTATATAATATGAAATGACTCAGTTTTATTTTGATTTGTGTATACAAGAATAAATGAACGACTGAACGAGCCATCGAATAAATTAATGGATGAATGAATGAATAAATAAAAATACATTTATAAATCACTGTACATGTTTATATAGAAAACTCATAGATATATATGGATAACTTTGAATGTTTGTATGTGTATGTATGTGTGTGTATGTATGTATTTGTGTGAACTTGGAATATTTCTGTTTAGGTAGCCATACTAGAGGAATTTTATATAAATTCTATTATGGTCATCCTGCTTTCTTTTAATTTTCAATTTTGAGAAGCAAATAAAATTTCGTTTCGTTTCGTATGTGCGTATATATGTGTGTATGTATGTATGTATGTATGTATGTATGTATGCATGTATGTATGTATGTATGTATGTATGTATGTATGTATGTATGTATGTATGTATGTATGTATGTATGTATGTATGTATGTTTGTATGTATGTATGTATGTATGTATGTATGTATGTATGTATGTATGTATGTATGTATGTATGTATGTATGTTTGTATGTATGTATGTATGTATGTATGTATGTATGTATGTATGTATGTATGTATGTATGTATGTATGTTTGTATGTATGTATGTATGTATGTATGAACTTGTATGTATGTATGTGTGCGTGTGTACTGTAGTCCCTGTCTTAGCGTAAGACTACGTATACATGTATGGATTTGTGGTTTATTGTTCCCTTGCGGTCGTCAATAATTACTGCTCCTCTAGTATTATATACTAAAATAAATAACTGGACATGCTGTTAAGTACTATATATGTAAGTATGTATGTATGTATATAGGTAGATAGGTATAGTCCAGGCCGTGATAGCTCAGATGGTAGAAGTGCCGTGTCTTACGTTTTATTGCGTGACGACCTGTTTCGAATACTGCCTGTCAGTAGCTCATGTATACGTGAGGCTAGCATGTGCATGCAAATATGTATGTGGTATCTTTTATATTATTTTATCTTAACTTTTGTATCTTGAAGTTATTTAACTGTAATATCACAAAGTAATATAGTTGAAACTTCTAACTTTCCATATTTTTCAGACCTAATTTTCAGTTATCAAGCCAGAGTGGGTGATGCTATCATCATCGTTGTTTACCTGCTCGTCATCATCACCATCTTTTCATCATCATCATCATCAACAACAACAACATCATCAACAACATCATCAACATCATCATCAGTATTGACTCTTGCTAACAATTATTTACGACAATTACATTTATTCTTAAGTTGTAGGCCCTTACAAGATACAACAGCAACGATGAAAACATTCCTGACATTCAATTTGGGTATATGCTGCATAAACAACTGCAGCTAAACATACAAACATTACATACATAAACATTCAAACATTGTATACATAAACATACAAACATTTTATGCCCAAAAATACCAACATTGTAACGTACGAACAAGCAAAGAAACATACAAGCTGTCACAAGGATAGCATGAAATAAGACATCCATTGACCTTCCATCAATCGAGAAATTTACATTTGTGACGGCAGAGAGTAACTCACTTACACACACACCACACACACACACAAACACACGCGCACAAACACACACACACACACACACACACATACACACATGGACTATCACAGAACGAAGCAGTGGCTCGTGTTAACATCATGAATATGCATGAACATTCTTTCATTCCGTCGAATAGTCCTCATAATTTACCGTGAACAATCGAAAATCACACCGCGTAAAAAAGAGTAAAGAAGATACATTTCGAGACGAAACATTTCATTTATTACCGTGTAAAAAAAAGTATCGTTATTTGAAATCGATACCGTATCGATAACTGCCATCGTAGTAATGGTCACATGATAGCTAACCCCTGTTTACAATTTTAGTTGTTGAAAACCTGCAACACGACTGCCTACATGTTGATTCATGTGCCAACAAAACTCCTGGCCAAACAGCGACTTCGTCTCTTGTTCTGCACAGCCACCTGCCTTCTACTTGCCGGCTACATTCTGACGTTTCTGCGCCTAGAGTCACTTCTCGGATTGTCTGAAAGTCAACAGTTCTACGAAAATGTGGCCGACTACCGCCACGGCGTGCAGTTTTTGTGCCGCGAGACGATGGCGAGAGATCGCCTGTGGAAGCACGCTGCTGCTAACGTTCTCATCAAACGAAACTGGATGACTGGAGATGACATGGGATTCGGTCGGGATATTTTAGCCGATAAAAAGCAAAATTTCAAACCAAACGATGATGCTTTGGTTAGGCAGAAATCGTCTCAACGAGATGAAAATGTTCCGATTCTTCGTAATAAACGAGCGAATCCTAGTTTCTTAAAGTCAAAAAATAATTTCAAAAATTCAGAAAACTTCCTTAAAGCAAAAGACGCAAACGATCAGAATGCTGCCTTCAACGCCATGTCTTCGAGTTCTTCGAACGACAACCTCTTCGACAAGTTCCAGAGCCTAATGGAGCAGATCTGCCAGGAGTACACATCTATGCTGGCCACAGACGACAACGCAGAAATTGTCACATACCAATCAAACTCTAACCTATCAAACGTCGTTAACATTGAGATCGAAGTAAAAAATATGAAAAATCAAGCAGACGATAGATTGCAAACCGCCGACGGACAGTTTGACATTACGTCAACAAAAAAAGTACCGGCATCCGATATGTTGGATGAGGATCAAGTCGGTTATTTGAAGGAAATAGTTAAAATATTTAGTCAGAGGAGGAGAGATGTCATTGGGGATACAGACTTTCATCTCAAAATGAAGAAGAAGCGCTTAAAACCGAGACTTGAAATCCACAGGACTCCTAAATCGGGGTACTTGAACTTTTTTCATATTAATTAATTAATTAATTAATTTTTTAAATTAAAAGAATTAAATCAAGCCAATTAATTATAATTTAAATTTCGTTTTTTTTATTTATTGACATTGCCATTGCTGTAAACATTAACGCTGCCAGAGTAGCAAAACTTATACTCTAAAAACCATCTTCACCAACTTGTAAACATTCTCCTTAATACACATCTCTCCAGTTTTCCATAATTTTCAAACAGTCTCTATCACAGAAGTTTGAAAATAAAGCGAACAAATGAAAAATTCTTTTCCTCTTATTAACAACCAGCGTCGCGGTTTCCTTCCCATTTTTGCACGAGAGTCACTTTTATTAACGCCAACTGGAGTTTAAGTCGTCTTTGTTAACTGAGTGCCGTCCCATTAAATTATACCTGCAATAGCAGACAATCTCTTCAGCTGTAACTCCTCCAGCCATAAAATTTGTTGCACTGGGCAGATGAAAGATAAAAAAATATTTTTTGGATAATACTGATACTGAACCAGCGAGAGGAAAATGAAAAAAGAAAAAATTGATTAGAAATTTTTTCAAAACACTTTCGAGTTTGGAATATTATATTGGAAAATCTTTTGAAATCACCGTGAACTCGTTTTTAATGTTTATCTGGCTACGGAATAGATATTAAATAATAAAATATAGTTAGTTTTCAAATATTTTGAAAATTTTTTTAAAAATCAAAACATTTTCTCTAGAACATTCTATATCCAGCATCAAATAACAAGGAACTAACAGACTAGCACAAGCATTATTATATTATTAAATGCAACACTTACACCAACTATACACCATAGCAGAGCAAGTCTAGTGAATATGGAATAGATAAATAAATATACTGTAGACCTAAATAGCATTGCCTCTTAATGTATGTACGTCGTGTGTGTGTGTGTGTGTGTGTGTGTGTGTGTGTGTGTGTGTGTGTGTGTGTGTGTGTGTATACATAACATAAATGAGCTTAGTTGGTGTGCTGTCTGTTAAGTTGGCATGCAGACTTCCCATCTCTCACATTCATTTACCAGCTAATGTAATGGGTTTTTTGCCTGTTTTTTTTGTTAGTTTTCTTAGAGAAGAGCTTTTATTTCTTTTGCAATCAAAATTGTTTTTAGAGTTTTTAAAGCTAATTTAAAAAAAACAAAATCCTAATTTTCAAAAAGACTTTTAAAAACTTCAGCACATAAGCTAGCAGCTTTTTTTTAAAAGAGGTGATCTTAGAGACGCATTACGAGACATAAAACTTTCGTTGCACTGAACGTAAGAAAATTTATCTAGCACGCTTAATGAACTGTGCACCGTTGTAAATTTTTTAAAGCACTTTTAACTCTTTAAAAATATTTTTATTTTTAGCCTTCAAAACACTGCTTAGTTTAGTGAATTATTTATTATTATAATTCTATTCATAAATTAATTACTCATTGGTCGTATTAAAGTGTAAAGAACAAAGCTATTTATAACAACAAAGTATAAACAACTCAATAATTATATTATACAACAAAACATTTGTTGTATAATGTTTAACCTCCACAACGATGAGTTCACTACAGGAAAAGTTTGCAGTTTTAACGCATTTTTTGTCTTTAAGCCCCGAATGAAATTGAAAAAGAACAAAAATATGAACAACAAGAAGTCTATAGACAACGGCAATAATACTACATCTCAATCAAAGAGCGTTTACATCAATTATTCAGCTCTCACGGTACGTACTTAATGTCGATTTGAGCGATCTAGCATATGCCACTGAAAGATGATGATAATTATAAATACATCACTCTTCGCTCTGTAAACCCGAAAAATAAAAAAAAAAAATAAATATGAAAAAGAAGAAAAAAATTACTGACAAGCAAAACATCTCCGTGTTAAAAACAACACCATCATCTCCTAGCCAAGAAGAGTAAGTGAGAGGAACATAGAGGAAGATAAAGAGAGAGAGAGAGACAGAGAGAGAGAACGAGAAAGAAACAAATGTTGGGGAGGAAAAATTTATTAATGGTGTTATTGCCACGTTTTGTAACCCTATTTAGAGTTACTTCATTCTCGCATTAGCCGCACGTATTCTGGATATTTTTGTCCTAGTTTTTTTGTCTATAAAACGAAATTTGAAAATAAGTAAACGAGTGAGTGAGTGATTGAATGAATGAATGAGTGAATGAATGAATGAATTTTGCTTTTTTCAATTTTTTTTTCAATTTTCTTTTGATTATTTTGAAAATGAAAATTGCAGATTTCATGTACGCACTTTTCAAACTACCAAAAAACAAACTTTGACGATTAAAGATAAACTTATCTTCATCATCATTATTGTTATTATTATTATTGTTGTTATTATTATTATTATTATTGTTGTTGTTGTTGTTATTATTATTAAAAAAGATGTTTTATGTACATGGTGCACTGTCACAACTGCAGTTTACGACCTGATTGGAGGAAGAGGATCTCTTGTTCTTTCTTTGTTGGATGTAGCAAGAAAAAAGAAGGAATAAAATAAGATTGAGAGAGAGAGAGAGAGAGAGAGAGAAAGTAAGAAAAGAAACAAAGAAAGAAATGGATTGCGAGTGAGAGAGGTAAATAAAAGAACAAACAAAACAAAAAAGAAGAAAGGAAGAGATGAAATAAGAATGAAATAGAAAGAGAGAGTGAGTGAAAGAGAGAAAGAGAGATAACTATCAGACAAAAAAGAAATAAAATACGAGGGAGAGAGAGAGAAACAGAGAGAGAAACTAAAAGAACAAACACAAAAAAGAAGAGATAGAATGAAATTGACAGAAAGAAAGAACAAACAGAAAACAAAGGAATGAAATGAGAATGAGGGAAAGAAAGCCCTGAAATTAGCTTTGTTAGCTTTGTAAACATTTCAATAGTGTTCAGTCAGTCCATAAATCATCGGAATGCCTACGACAGCTCGCCAATCAGCCAACTAATCAACCAACCAACTTATCAACCAATCAATCAACCAACCATTTAGTTAACCAAACAACCAACTGACCAACAAATCATTCAATCATTCAACCATCCAGCCAATCATTCTTCCAACATCCAACCATTCAACCAACTTCATTACTTACAACGTCTTCTTTTACGTTACAAATAGGTTTTTCTTGTCCTTTTATATTAAGGACTCTTACTATCGGATGATATCGGATGAAGGAGTGAATGAGTTGATGAATGAATGAATGAATGAATGGATGGATGAATGACTGAACGAAAAAACGAACGAACAAAAGGATGAAAAAATGATTGATCGAACAAATGAATTTTATGTTGTAAGCATCTTTCATCTTATTGCCTATTTTTCTCTGTACTTTATTTCTGGCATCCGATCAGCTTCTGCCTGCTTAATTGTTTTGCTATTATTGTTATTATTATTATTTATTATTATTACTATTATTATCTTGTATTGTTGTTTTATAACTAATATTATTAATGAATTTATGATCTAGTTAGTTTCCAACGTTCACACACAAAAAAAAACTGCTTCTTGGCTTATTAAATTTTCAAATATGAATACCTCCAAAACTGGAGGTGGTGTCTTTTATTAACTTTATTATTATTTCTATTATTATTTATTATTGCTGTTATTATTATTGTTATTATTATATTATTTTTTATTGTTATTGTTGTTATTTATGACGGACTTTTGAAATAAAAAAAAAATTCTTTTGTTATTTTCCAAATTTATTCCTCTCGGTGAATGCTGATGCCAGTTAATTAAGTGCACGTGACTGAATAATAATAACAACAACAACAATAATAATAATAACGGTAATAATAACGATGAATAATTATAGTAATAATAATTTTCGTCTCATCTCCCATAAGCATGTATCGGACATGTATCTTCCAAAAAAACTACATCAACCCCTCCCCACACAACCACAAACATCAAACAGGGAAAAACTTCCAAACTGGAAAAAGTTCCAAAACCGCATCTCATCCTTTTCCTTGTATGATGACGACGAAAGCGGTCCAGGTTTTTTTTATTTATTTTTTTAAATTTTTATTTCCTGTGGCTCTGGCGTTCGAAAAACTGATTGCATATCATTTTATAGTTATAAACTTACCTGACACAAAGGCTGTACTATCCACAACACACGATGATGTACATACTCTTACGAGGTACATAATCTTTAAGTTTCCGACAGACAGCATTGGAACCAGGTCACGGCGTAATAACACCGCGAGACATTGCAGCACCTCTACTGGCTGAGCTAACTTGCACACCAACCAGCCAACCAACCAACCAACCAGCCAACCAACCAACCAGCCATCCAACCAACCAGCCATCCAATCAACCAGCCAACCAACCAACCAACCAACCAACCAACCAGATTTTAACCAAAAGGACATAACTGGTTCTCGAGATGCAAAACTTTTGAAGAGCCTTCTGGAAGATTTGGCAACGAGGAGGATTGTTTCTGTAGACGAACTTTCTGAAGTGGGCACCCAGATCAAATACATCTTCACGCTGGAAGACGGCAACAGGGCTCTCTTCAAACCAAAAAGGTGTTTTTTTTTATAAAATTTATAAAAAAAAAATTTTAAAATCGTAAATTTTTGTTTGAATGTTTTTCAAATTAGGTATGTTTTGTTAGTTTTCAAGAATAATCAAGTTAATTCCTGATGTATTGTTGCTATTTCTATTTATTTAACAAGCATTTTTTAATTAATATTTTGTCTGATTTTTTTAAAAACTCTATTATCAACTTTAAATCTTTATAAATTTTTAAAAATAAAGTTCTAAATATTGATGCCCATGAAGTGAAAGACTATAAATAAGTCCCTCCCATCTCACGGAAACAAGCAATAAAATCGAGCAAAAATAAACAACATTTTAAATTAAATCTTCTTACTACTTTCTTTCTCGCCAACTTTGTCGTGTGGTGTGTGTGTGCGTCGTGTGTGTGTGTGTGTGTGTATGTATGTATGTGTGTGTGTGTGTTGCGTCGTGCCGTTCGGTGTGTTGTCTAGTCTGTTTATCTGAAGTGCCGTGCCTCTGTGTCTC